AGAACCTCATTGGAAAATTATCTGATTTAACTTTACTGTGCTCTTGTTCAAATATATTAACTCAACAGCACATAAATCCATACCTGATAACAAAATCATCATTTAATTGTTAATTCGGCTCAATAAAAACACCTTTACCTTTTTATTTTACTACAGTAGAAGTTTATTGGCCCAGCTTAAAGACTACAGAAGTGAAGAAACGCCCCCGCTTAAGTTTATGTTTTCTGAATATAGTACTATGTCTGTGACCCTATATGTCCTGTTGATGAAGTTAGGTGCTGTTCTGAGCATTATTTGTGGCTATAGAGTGGCGTTTTGGTTGGGGGCGTGGCTCTCTGTATTTCTATCCTGTTACTAAAGTTGGTATAACTAGAGAAGGAAGCGGTCGACAACATTCATCTCTGGAGGGGGGGTCTAACTCGGTGTTACGGTGGGTTTGACCCTAAATTAATTTTACGCCGGAATATCCCTTTAACATCTTTATTCATCCTGATCATCGTGAACTGAAGACGCCCTCAGAGGGAAAGATCTCCATTGAATTCACCTCAGAAGAAATTCAGAAGGTGACGCACTGATCAGCTGACCGTCGTTTCCTAATCAATAACACAACTTTTCTGTCACATGATCAAGCTTTAACCTCCAGTTATCAGAGCCGTAAAACATCTCAGTTACAGTTTCATCATCAGAGCTCTGGGATCCTCGAGTGTTTGACTCTAAATCTTTAGGTCGAGTTTGGAAACGCCGACATGACTGATGACGTGTTTGTAGGTCGTTTTGACGCCTGACCGTGGCGTGAGGAAACAGCTGATTTTACATTTTCAATCCTCAATGACAAATCTGAAAAATCATCAGGACGAGATTTTGAACATAATTTAAATCTGTTACGAACAAAATGAGGAAGGAGCGCTCGTCCACAGGGGGCGCCAAAACTAGATTAAAAAAAACAAACAGGTCCTCACAGGAGTGCAAGATGTCGTCACGTCAACTGTTACCAAAAATATCTGTAGATTAATTCACCTGCAGGTAAAAGCAAAGTTTAGATCTGTTTCATCTCTTCAGACGTTTAATGTTTTTACTTTTTTTAATAAATCAGAATTTTCCTCCTCGACCCCGACCTTCATTTAACCTTCACAAATCTGGACATTTGGATCAAGCTCCCCCCTGAAAGTGAAGACCCCGTCCGTTCTCCTTCCTCAGCCCTTCTCCTCTTCCTCTCTCTCTCCTTTCCTTCATCACTCCATCACTCTTCTTTCCCTCCTTTCTTCTTCCGTCTCTCACTATGTCGGAGCCGTCACCTCGGTAATCATGAGTCATCTCTTCGTCCAGACTTTTGTCACGTTCCATCCAGGTCACACACACACACACACACACACACACACACACACACACACACACACACACACACACACACACATGCTGACACACAGGACTTGACATTTTCATTCAGACTCACATGTAAAAAGGTGCAGACAGACAATCCCTGACTTACACGGAAACACGCAAACACACACTTACAGTAGAGTGCAGACATGAGGAGATGGATGTGCACACCCTCACACAAACATACAAGTATGCACACACACACAGACAGACAGACAGACAGACAGGGGGCGTTGGACAGCGAGGAACAACTGTTGAGGCTGCAGGAGTTTGAACTTTGAGGTCTTAAGCAGGGACTTTAGTTTAATCTGCCTCCTCCTGATCCACAGGCTTAGTCCCCTCTCTCTCTCCCGCTCTGACTCTACCTCGCTCGCCCCCTTCTCTCTCCCTTTTCACCTCTCTTTCTGTCTCTCTCCCTCCATCCTCTCCCTCCATTCTCTGGCCTGACAGGAGCACAGAAACCCCCGCAGGTTAAAAATAACTCCAGGACAGAGGAGACGGGTACAATGAGTGACAGCGATGAGGGGACAGCTCTGCAAACACACACACACACACACAGACACACAGACACACACATCTATCTGTATATTTACGTTACATATATATAGACTGTATGTTTCATGCTTTTACAGGTACACACACAAACACACACACACACACAAACACACACACACAGTTGGAGTCTTTTCTTGGCTTCACCTCCAGGATTTTTGGAGCTCCTGGTAAACAAACAACACACAAGTAAACACACACATACACAAACACAAACACACAGAATTGTTAAGAAGCAGACACACACACACACTCACACACACACACACACACAGACAGTGGGGGTCTCTGAGGCTGGATTTCCTCCTGTAATGTCAAAGTTGAAGTGATCTCCTGAACAGACTGTCCTCTCCTGAGAACATTCAACTTGTCATCACAGGTTTGGAGATCTCTACACAAACACACACTTACACACAAACACACAAACGCTAACACACAACAAATACTAAACGCACATTTTTGCATTAAACTTTTTTATACAGCTAAAAAAAACTAAAAGGTTTAGAAACAGAAAAAAAAACTGTTCCTGACTCGCAGATTTTGACCATAAATCAGATTTGAGGAAACACTTTATGTGTGTGTGTGTGTGTGTCTGTGTGTGGTGTGTGTGCATACCTATGTGTGTGTGTGTGTGTGTGTCCCTAACCTGCTCTCCAGGCTGCATCATTACACGCCTGTTGGCTCTTCTAGACTCGTCCAAACTCACAAAACTTTAACGATAGTTTCCAGAGACGAAGAGCAGACGACGATGTCTGAGTCTTCATCGTGTTTAAGGACAAACTCTGCAGATCGACACGGACTGAGAACTTCAGAAGTTTAGAGACTGACAGTCATCGCTCTCTCCTGTCCTCTCCATACCTCTGTTTTTAACTCTAGAGGACGGCGGCGCCATCTTGGACAAAAATAAAATCCTTTTTCTTTTTTCTGAAAACTCGTCAACTTCACCAAACTTCACTTTAATAAGAAGTTTTTCTATCATCTCTCAAAACAAAACCACTGAAAACGATGTAGTACATATGCCAAGCCAGTAAGTGGCGCTTAGCTCTAAAGAAGAGTACAGAGCATGTGTATAAAGGTTGTTTTGGCGCCATAAAAGAGTTACTCTGTGTGTCACATGATCGTTTCCAGAGATGCAGATAGACATCTGATAGCCGATACCACAATTAGAGAATTCGTTTCCGTGGTGACGGGTTGATACCGCCTTCAAACAGACTTTACAGCGGGGAGTGGTTTACTCTTCATCTGAAACTGTGAAGTCGTACCAATTCAACACGACTGACTCGCTCTTGTCCTATTTAACCACGAAATTATCGCCTTCTTTAGCAAAGGGGGGGAGCCTACGGTGGCCTGAAAGCACGAGACATGACAGTGAGGAAAATCGATGAGTTTAATTTTTAAATATCGCCATAATGAAATAATCAGATTAATCGTGCAGCCCTAGAACACGCTGACGTCGATTCTCAGAGACACTCACGAATCACTGATTCTCAAAGTCGGCGAGTTTTCTTGTTTACCGTATTTTTCGCACTATAAGGCGAATTTAAAACCCTTTAGGTTTGTCGGAGTACTGCAGCTACTGCAGCCTCGAGGAGTTATTGAATGAGTTCAATAAAGTTTGACTTATCTGACTGTTTTCTTTGGCTTAATGCGCTTTATAATCCAGTGCACTTTATAGTGCGAAATATGCTCTCGTTCTGCCGGCAGAGGGACCACCTTAAAATGAGAGCCGCTCTGATCTGGATCAGTCTTTGGTCTGTCATCAACATTAAAGCTCCTCTCTGTGAGTTTTCACTGTAATAATGTTCATGAGAACCTCCTCAGATGATCCAGATCTTCAGGTTCAGTCTGTGAGCTGCTGAAGAAGAAATGAACTTCATTTCCCTTCAGCTGAAAAATAAAATAAAGCTCATTAGCTTCTGTCACCCTTTCAAAATAAAAGACCAGTCTGAGCTGCAGGTGCGCACCGACACTGTGGAGGAGGAGGTCTTTAAAAGTCTTTAAAAAAGACAAAATCTGTTGATTCAACATCAACTTCTCCTCCTTATAATCTCTGCAGAAATAAGTTTAAAAAAAAAGAGACGAATAAAAAAAAAGGAGAGAGGAGAAACGAGGAGAGGAGGAGGAGGAGGTCGGCCTGCAGCGTGTTCATGTGTGCAGTTAATATGAATTACAGAGAGATAATAAAAAGCAGACGCTCAATCACCACTGTTGGAGCAGAGAGGAGTGTGTGTGTGTGTGTGTGTGTGTGTGTGTGTGTGTGTTACTCCGCTGACTCAGCAGAGAGGCAGAAAATCCCAGGACTGCTGGGAATAAACAGATCAAAGTTATGTAATCAGGTGAGAGAGGAACACGGCCGTGTGAAGATCTCTAACATCACTGACTGTGTCTTTACTGGAGGAGGACCTCAGGCGTCTGCTGCTCCACTGGATTTAAAGATCTCTCTCTAACAGGTTCCAGCTCGTTATTCAGAACTTCAACAGAACTTTACTGCTCCACTTGGACCTCATCGTTTCATTTCCAGCTGTCCCCAATCAGAGAGCCGTAAAAACCTGCTGTTCACAACCTGAAGACTAAAAACAGACTCAGCTGACGGACAGAGAAGAGTCTCAGTTTTAGAAACTGTTTTCATTTATATTTTAAAATTAAAGAAGAATTATTTAATTCTTTCTCGACCATCTTTGACTCAGTTTCTTTCTCTCTGTCCCTCCAGCTGAACTCCGAGTCTCTCACTCCCACCTCTTCATCATCTGACACCGCACCAGCCAGACTCGGCCGCCATGCTTCCTGACATTTATGGCCGGCTTCCTGCGTATGAAAGCAACAACAGGAAGTAGGAAACAGGTGTTCGTGAGCGCGGTGACAGGGCACAGGAAGTGACCCCTTTCTCCCGCAGCCAGGAAAAGGATCGGAGTGGAGGTGATGCGGCGTGTTCGTGTTTGTGTACGTTTGTGTTTTCAGCGTCGGCCGCGTTGTTGTCATCACGGCTTAACCACGTCAAAGAGCTGCGGCGGCGGCGGTGTTCAGCCAGACCAGAGTGGGCTCACCGGGTCCAAAAATAACCCCACAGTAATACCACAGCACACACACACACACACACACACACACACACACACACACACACACACACACACACACACTCAGAGGCCATTACAGTCAGTCTGACTTTAAACAGCGTAATGAAACAATAACAGCAGAGCGGCCATCTTTGACTGCCAGGAATCATCAATATTGATGCTGTAAGTAAATGAAGCTCCACATAAACACAGAGGAGGAGGAGGAGGAGGAGGAGGTCTGAGGAGAGATCCAGGTCCAAGACTCCATCACTGATCAGGATGGAGGAAAAACTCAGACCGGCTGAAGATGAGGGATCAGGACTGAACACCAGCTGAAGGTTCGGGGTGAAGAAACGGTCGAATTCAAGAGTTCAGAGACGGTGGCCTTCAGGGACAAGAAGCAGAGGTGAGCAAAGGCGATATGATCTCAAATCAATATCACGATATATTGATCAGTTCACCCCGATAACGATAAATGGACGATAACTTCACCAGCTGCTCAGCCCCTCCCACATTAACTTCCACATTAACTTTCTCTCCGTCCTCCATCTCCTCACCTGTCTTTCCCTCTTTGTTACAGACTGGATGGGGCGGAGTCACGTCTCTGATGTAGGACAGCGTCTTAAAGGGACATGAGAGCATAGCCTACCTACACACATCCAAAACCAACATTAATTAATTTATTTTTTTAACACCGAATATACCGATTTCGGCGAAATGACGTCAATTATTGTCGTAAATTTTGGTATCAGTAAATTTTCGGTTTATCGTCCAGCCCTACTCTGATACGTTGATCATCTCTACGTTTATTCAGTCTGTTTGTTACGATCAGACTGTTTCTCAAAAACATTAAAAGTTTGAAACGATCTTTAAGACTCACAATAAAAACAACAAAAACCAACAAAGAGCCGCTCAAACACAGAGGGACACATAAACAACATTAACTAGATCACACCAAAACCTGCTCTCATGTGGCCCTCTGATGATTATTTACATTTAAAGAATAATTTAATTCTGTAATTAATTTATTTGTTTGACACTGAATATACAGAAATTGGAAAAATGACGTTGGTTTTTGTCGTAAATTTCAGTATCTGTAAATTTTCGTTTTTTCGCCCAGCCCTAAAACCCACTAAAGAAAACTTTAACGACTCTTAAATTAACATTCTGCAGCTTCTGTCTCTAGTTTCTCGTCAGTCTCCTGAATCCGGAGCGATCCCAGCCGAGGAGAACCGGGCTGACGGCGTTCTCGCTTCTGTTGATTCTGGCCGAACCGTTCAGGAGATTTAACGTTTGTTTTCACTGGAGAAGAAGATCGGACGCAGCGACAGATTTATCCCGAACAGCTGTGTGACGTGTGAAAAAGTGATGAAGGTATCATGCTCTCATCTTCCTCCAGTAACCCTCGGGCATGTGTTTGATCCGCTCCCTGACTATAGATGTCTTCATGGTGAGGAGAGGATCTAGTACACTCCAGTTCATGTTCTGGAGATAAAGTTGATTTTTCTGCTCGTTCAGGTCATGATCAGGTGTTACTCGGTGTTTTTTTATCCTTTTAGACTTTGTAATCTGATCCTAATCTGAATTAAAGGATCCACATGAGAGAACTGATCTGTTAAAGAGAGGCTGTTACTCTCAGCGACCACCGGGGGCAGCAGCAGTTTAATAATAATAACGTCTGTCTGTCTGAACTTCTCTGGACCAGATGATGATTTTGGATTCATGTGAAACAGTGAGAGTGAGACGGTCTGAGAGGTCCGGAGGAGTCAGAGAGCAGCTTGTGTTCTCTGATGTTCATGTTCATCACCTCAGTATAAATATCCGTCTAAAGTTAGCACGCTATAATCACTGAAGCTACTGGTCATACCAAGACATACCGCGCCGAAGACAGGCTGTAAAACACGGCCGAGGATTTTGATTTACGAGGGTTTAACCTGAACGAAGATCTTCATCTACACTCAAAATTAAAAATAAAATAAAGCTGAATTAACCCGGACTTAGAGGAGAACTCTGTTTTAAACTTAGACTAACTCGAGCATTTTGACCTGATCTATGTTGTCTTCTTTATTTCCGTCTTAAATCAGGGTGAGGTGTTCATCAGACTCTCAGATTCCTTCTTTCACATCTTTTGATTGATAATTTAATTCAGTATTTGAGCTCAGAGGTGGGATCATGTTTCCGTCTCCAAACAAACACAGAATAATAAAACTCCTGAAACCCTTCGCCGAATTCTCCTCTTCCTCCATCCGTCATGTCGGCGCTCATTAGAGCCGCTCACAGGACGTATTCAGCTCGTAAATCACGCTCTTCGCCGCTCTGTCGTCTGGTTATGCGGCCTTGGAGCTCGGCGTGTCGCTGCGCTGCTTCTCTTTCTCCCTCGGCAGCAGCTGCTCCTTCTTCCAGAGAAACGCTCCGTCACTCTGCAGCTGTCGGCTAACAAGAGTTCAGATCAGCGTCCAGCTCTCACTCACTCACACACACATTCACTCACACACTCGGCCAGAAACACACTCTGACGGTCGGTCTGTCTCCTCAGTCCGTCTTCATCTCCGTCTGTCCGTCATCTTCCTCGATCTCTCTCTCCTCCCTCTCTTTGACCCTTTATTACAGCTCTGCTTCAATAAACCACAGACACTCCTCAAACATCATCTCACACACACACACGCACACACACACACACACACACACACACACACAGTCCCCCGGGGTTAAACTGTGAGGTCATACCGCCACATGTTTCGACAGCCGCTCTCTTGACAACAAGAAGAAATTTTATCCACAAACCAAAATAGTTGAACAATCAACGACCTACAAACAGCGGACCACCGTCCAGCTCTCAGGGTCACACGAGTGTGTGTGTGTGTGTGTGTTTCCTCTCATCACGGCAGACTGAGTTTCTCTTGTTTTGCTCTCAAACTGTTTCCACCATGACAGTCATGCTTTGAAAACTCTTGAAGGGTTTACTCGGAGATCTCAGCTTACTGACGGCCCGCTGACCCTGGATGTTTCTGCCCGAGTGTGTGTGAGTGTGTGTGTGTGAGTGTGAGTGTGTGTGTGTGTGTGTGTGTGTGACGCTTCCTCAGTGTGAGTACGGGGCTGACATGTCACTCGTTTATTCACCTCTGATTTTCATTCCTCTGCGCTGTAATTTTTCGATGTCTTTAAATCTGTGATCGTGTTAAATATGATTTTAAAAACTGAACATCGACTCTGATTATTTTGCTCACCTCCTTATTTACGTCTCATTTATTTTCTGTATTTCTCTTCTGTCTCCTCAGCTCTGAATGTCTCGGTGTGTTTTTTCACACCAGCGTTGGGACTTCTCCGGGGTCATGGCTGCAGGATTTTCTCTCTTGGATTATTAAAAGTGTTTGTACGCCCTCCTCTCTCAGCTGACTCTCACTCACTATCAGGTCTGCTTAGTCCGTCCTGGTCCACAGATTCTGGAGCTGAAGGAGGTCTAGATCAGACCCTGCAGAGCTGCTTCATTAGTTCAGGATTCAGGACCGTCTGACCGACACTCTGATCTGATCTGGACCTCAAAAAAACCTCGATGTCGAACTCGGTTTAAAAACTTGAAGACCGCAGCGTCGTTTCCTAAACCACTGACCAATCAGACTGAAGAAGAGGCGGGGCTTCTTCTAACAACACTGACTCTGTATGTGAGGTGAATTTGTCCGATCTGGAGCCGAGTTTATTCTGATTTGAGTTTTTCTTCTTTCTTTCTCTTAAAGTTTTCAGAGTAAATTAAAGCAGGTAACTGGACTTTACTGTTTGAGTTTTAAAGCTGCAGTGATTTATTCATGAGTAATGACTTTTTAGTGACACTTTCTCATAATCCAAACTGATTTATTTTATTTTCCTGCAGAGTGACAAACACCGACAGAACCTCGAGTTTCGACTGAATCAGATTTTAACAGAAACTTAGTCGACTCTTTTTCTGTATGAAGGCTCAAACACTCGAGTCCTCTGATCGTCCTGCAGGGTTTATTTAGCTGTGTGTGTGTGTGTGTGTGTGTGTGTGTGTGTGTCGGGGGGTGTTTCTCCTCTCTGTGCATGAACACGTGTGTGTCTGTTGTGTGTCGCTCAGTGCTGCACAAATCCATTTAGTCGCCTCTCTCCCTGACATGTTATAAATAGCCTAAAGAGCGACGGGGGGATTCACCCTCGATTAGGAGGGTCTAAATATCAGCGGCTAATAGCGGCTCGTCTCCCCGCGGCTGATCGCTGAGCCCAAAACAACACGACTGAAGTGTCAGTCCGCCTCATGACCACGACACGAACGCCGTCTTTACTCTGAGGAGGAGAGAATCTGTCTGTGTGTGTTTGACGTCTGTTAGCTCAGCTTCGGCTCACTCTCTCATTTTATTCATGTTTTCACCAGAATCATGTGCTGCAGTATTTTTTTTTTTCTCCGAGCAGGTACCTTCCTGCATGGATTCTCCAACGGTTGCCTAGCAACTACAACCTGAGGATGGTGTGGAAAAAAACTTGAAAAATCTGCAGCGAGACCTGACCTTCATCGCAGCCGACACCTAAACGAGGAAGACGAGGGGGACGGACCTCAGAAACAGACGATGATCGGAAAAACACGATAAACTGACGATGATCAGAAAAATACGATAAACTGACGATTATTAGAAAAATACGATAAACTGACGATTATCAGAGTTAGAAAATATGATTTCACTCAAACATGGTCTTCTGTAAATTCTTGTTGCCGAATCTCTTTTTTTTTTCATTTTTAGTATTTCTGATTCTCTCTTAAAGGTTCTCTTATATCGTCTTAAATCCTCCAGCTGTTCAAGAATAAAGAACTTTAAATTAATATATATCGAAGTTCAGAGAGAGAGAGAGAGAGAGAGAGAGAGAGAGAGAGAGAATGGGAGAGAGAGAGAGAGAGAGAGAGTGAGAGAATGGGAGAGAGAGAGAGAGAGAGAGAGAGAGAGAATGGGAGAGAGAGAGAGAGAGAGAGAGTGAGAGAATGGGAGAGAGAGAGAGAGAGCATATGTACA